TGAGTAAAGTCTTCTCGGGAATGCAAATTCCGAACCGGGCTGTTCACTGCTGGGCTCATTTCCATTTCGAGTGAGTGTGTATGAAGAGAGGAATTTCCAAGCTTCATCCCACCAGTTGTCGGTTGGCTTCACTGGAACATTCTTTTTGATGATGTGTCAAGATAGGCTTCTTCGATTTATGGAAAAATGCGCTTAGCTTTGGTCAGAGCTGCATTCAGCTTAGTTCGTCTAAGGCGATGAAAGACCGATAGTTTAAGTCGCCCACAAGCATCTGAGTAGGGCTCATGCACGTACACGAAATATGCTGTATACAGCTCTTATGTCAAACTGACTGGTAGTCTTGGAAACCTGTTTATAAGCATACTAAACTTTTAAACGTAGAAATGAAGGCCAATATATTGGTGCAGTCTTTTCTAGATGTATAGAAGTGGTCTGACCTGGTTTTCGCAAATTGGTCGTGTTGTCATGGCTACCTGGCCGGAGTCATCTTGTCCAAAGTCCTCTGCTATCGTGGATCGTGGACAGGGTACATTCCCACACGTTCCTCTGGCGTCTTCAATGAGTCTTACCATTCTCAGCACCAGGCTACAACTTTTTTATCCTCATCCAGTTGTAACTTGGCGATGGGAATGCCGAGGCTCTCTGAAAATGCTGATTACGACGCCGGTGAGACGTCTGGAAATGTACGAAATCCACAATTCAATACTGAGAATTATCATAACTCTTACAGCAAAGGACTTCGGAGAAGGTGCAACTAAGTAGGTCAACCTAACAACCCATACAAAGATGTGAAAAGAGGTGACAAGATTGTGTTTATCATATGATGGACATCATCATCATTCGTATCACCGTACACATATTAACGAGACAGGAAAACTTATCGGATTCGCCAAGTTGCTGCGCATAGACCCGAATATTCATATATTGTCAGGTTCTAAACTATTAGTAAGTAGTGTACAAGTAATATGAGATGTATTCACCAAATTTTGTCGACGAAGCAAACGTATATTTGCTATAACAATCGACAACTATACTTTATTTTTCGCCACCAAACAATATGATATGGCAAAAAGGCCTGGCCCTCCTTGAAAATTCACACTTTCCCTGTGACCCAAAAGGCGCTTGTGGCAGTGTAGCCGAATGGTTAGTGTGTCAAGCTACCATCCTGCACTGCCGCTGTTCGATTCCCGCTGAGGGTGTGATACGAGGGTGCGGAGTTGAGAACAACTTTTGGGAAAGCAAGGCAATGTGAAATTCAATGGAAACGTCAGCTTAACTCATATCATTGTGAAAAAATTCTTCTTCTACCAGTCCTGCATCACCTTAAACGAAATTGTGTGAATACATCTCATATTACTGATTTACTGGTAGTCACGAAAACAATAATTAATTCGAAAA